CAAATATAATAGCTTTTTTCTATATAAGTGATTTTGAATACATTTGTTTTATAGCCGCTTTATTTCTGGAATTAATGAAAATTACCTTTCTCGAAAACTGTCATATAATGTTGATATTTTAATTATTATCCTTGTTTTCATACAACTGTATGAAATACTATAAGCTCAACGAATTGTTTTAAGAGGTTTAGAAATTATTCAATTTCTAAACCCCTTAAAACCGTATTGCACTGGATCCCTTGACAGGCAATGATTTATTACTTTGCATCGAATATGATTCTATTACAGGTATTTTTTTGTTTTATGCTTGCAACGAATACAGTTATTACAAAAAGATTTTATGGTTAAAAGAATTTTTGGGGTTACTGATCTCGAATCCGATGACTTTTTCACTCTATCACGTCAGTTTTAAGACCATTTCAAGGTTAAATAGAGAAAAACCGCGTGAGCGGAGAAAGAGACGATCCTTATACGTTTGTGGGCCTACTGGATGTAAATCCTCATTACAACCTCACTTGTATGATGTCGAACAATTTTATTATCAAAAGATCTACGGATTGGATTCCTCTAACGTTTATTTGATTTAGCGGATAAATCTCTTTTTAATTCCAGAAGTAATCGGCCATCATATTTATATCCCATCTGCTTTGGTATCTACGCACAATTTCCTTAATGTCTTGATGAAGTCTTTCTCCCTGCTCCTCACTGCAATATCCCAAATTCTCTGGGAAATAGTCCACATGAGAATGTAAAAAATGTAATTTAAGATTCATTAAACTACCTACTTAGGTTCTTAAAACTTTCTACCAAATTTGACACTATTTCTTTATAGTTTGGACTCTTGTTATTTCCTAGAAAATTTTCGATGATATCCTTGAAACAAAACCAAGCTGCTTTCTCGCTGTAATTCATTTTTGTAACAAAAACAGGATCTCTCAACATCTTACGGATTTGAGGCCCATCAAAAATTCTTTCCACTCAATTGTGAAAACTGCTCTCCCAAATATTTAAAGCATTCTTTAGAGCTTTCACCCATTGCTTCACTTGATATGAAGTGGCGGAAAAAGGACTTTTAATGAGGGCTAATTAGGGGCTCGGTTATTATATTTTAGATCCAGAAGTCTTTCATTAATACCGAATCTGATATAGAAATAGCTGCATAAACACTTGTATTATGCAGTAGAACAGGTTTTAAACTACTATTTGATGAATCAATAAGTAACCTCCACTCTTCAGATTTATAACATCTGTTTTTCATGTGATTCATTAAACTAGTAATATCATTACGAAAGAGAAATATTTTCAAAATTCCTTATCTCTATCACGATAGTACTCTACCAGCCTGCTTAATATTTTGTTTAGCCATGCTGCAAGGAATTCCGAGCCGTCTTTTGGTAAACCCAACGAAATCATTTACTTTTTCTTGGGATATTGTTATTATTACTATAAGGAATGTAGTCGTCGTCCTAGTATTGCTTGAACTGTCAACGATACTTTCATTCTGACTATTGTCTTTCACTGACTCATTTATTAAAAAATTATTTCATTTTTTCTAAACTATCGTCTACTTCCTTTCTTTACGTAAAATTGCTGGTACTTGCTTCCTTCGTTTCTTTGTTTTTATCAATTATAGGTGAATATATTGTCACCCTCCGAAGAGAAAAGACAAAAAAAAAAAAGAAAAAAAACGGAACAAATCTACTAAATTGTAACCATCTAGGGAAGGTAACAAGGTATTCATCGCTAGTACTCAGTGGAGAAGGGGAGCTCATGCGCTACACAGATGTGGTAGTTTGTTGCTGAACGCAATAAGAGAACAATTTGCTTTAATTTCTAAACAAAATAATACAAATATGACAATACCTAAAATATATATGATATGGCACAAACGCAGCGCAAAAATTAAGAAATATAGTTATGACTACTATTGACAGAAGTTAACAGCTAACAGCGTTTAACAATTTTATATGGTGGCATGGCAATCAGACACATTAACTTGCATTAATTTTTTTTCGCGATATGACCTTGGATTTACCTTGACCCTGATCTGATTGGGTTAAACAGATTGCATATTCGGAATCATCGGCTTCAAAGACATCATGGTCTCGTCTTTCGAACCAGGTACTTTTTTTTGTGGCGCTGTGTATCAAGTATCGAATCTGACGGAGCGACTGAATCAGATTTCGGGTTCCTCCAACGAAGTTTGGGTTGTTTCTAATTTTGATCCACCAAAATCCCATTTTCACAAAAAGTTTCCTGATGCGATTTCGATAACTTGAATAATTACTATTATTCTTGTTCTTAGGAGTATAAAAACTAATAATCTTACAATGTTTTGAATAAACTTATTAGATGCCTGCATGTGTGCATCGAAATTGCAGGATCCCACTGCACTTAATAGACACTAGGGGAGCACTGGTCCCACGTTTATGTCTAATTCCAGCCGAGTTAATTATACAATAAACTAAATAATCACCTCACACATGTCCCAATCACGGCGTTAAGGAGGACGTTAACACGCGTAAAATAGGATGAGATATAGGGTTATTTGTTTTTATTTATATTTTTCGGAAATATGTTGTACCGGTTGCATCACTTTATGGCCGTTTCATTCCAAATATTTACGCGTGTGTTTTTTAATTAAGGAAATGCCGGCTGGGAAAACAAATAAAAAATATTTAATTAAGTAACTAGATCAGACTGTACGCAGAGGTGTAGGTGCGATGTTTTAATTTTAGGGTAATTCTAAAAAACATATTTCCGTATTTTGTTCTATAATCCTGGGATTAAAATAAGAAGAGTCACAACAATGCCGAAGTACGTAGGAAGGAACGGAGATTTTTCTCAAAGTCAATAAAATATCAAAAAAAGGGTTGTCTACGGGGTGTTCTGAAAAACACTGACATAAATTCAGGGTCCTATCTTCCACAAAATTTGACCGAATGAACTGAAATTTTGTTATGTGGGATTTCTGGGGATGCTAAATGCTCTAGAGTTATTAATTTTTGGCTATATCATACAGGGTGTTTAGTGCAGTACTCCGGGGAAACATTTTAGGTTTTTTGAGGTTAATCTTTTTGCCTCTTCTGTCACTTGATGTTATGGCAAATTTTATTCTAAACAAAAAAGGTACTCTTGTAAGAAGTGCTAAAATTTGACAGTTTTCGAGAAAAACCAGGCATAGTGCGCCAAAGTCAAGCAGATAGTGTCCCAAATTATTGTTTTTTATTTCAAGTAGGCTTGTAATAGGATACCGCATTCTGGATGGTAATTTAAATGGCACCAAATATATAGATTTTTTAAGAAATAGTCTGTTCAAAATTATTGAAGATGATATTCCACTATTAGCAAGAAATAATAATTATTTCATGCATGATGCCGCTCCACCACATTTTACTCGAGTATGCAGAGAGTGGGTTCATAACAATTTTCTTGAGCGATGGATTGGTCGACGTGCATATGCTCCAATTCACTGGCCTCCATGGTCACCAGACCTTAATCCTCTTGATTATATAGTTTGGAGCTATGCCAAACAAAAAGTATATGAAACAGAAATAAATTTAGCAGAACATCTGAGACAAAAGATTGTTGATGTTTTCAACCATCTAAAAGACGATTCAGAATCTTTGAAAAATACATTGTTTTCATTGCAGAAAAGAATTCGTTTTTGTATTCGTGAAAATGAAGGACATTTTGAACACTTATTCTGATTAAAATTTAATTTTCTGTTAATAATAATTAGCTATTCTTGTTGTTTTCCTTTTTTCAATTGTATCAGTATGTGTTAACATTTCCAGAAATAAACTATTTTTATCATTACCATTAAAATAATAACTTTGATTCTGAGTTTTATTAATGGAACTAATAATAATAGTAACTAGGTGCCAAAGCCTACTTGAAATAAAAAACAACAATTTGGGACACTAGCTGATGAACTTTGGCGGTCAATGCCTGGTTTTTCTCGAAAACGGGCAAATTTTAGCACTTCTTACAAGAGCACCTTTTTTGTTTAGAATAAAATTTTCCATAACAGTAAGTGACAAAAGGGGCAAAAAGATTAACCTCAAAAAATTTAGGACCTAAAATGTTCCCGCGGAGTACTGTACTGAACACCCTGTATGATATAGCCAAAAATTAATAACTACAGAGCATTCAGCATCCCCAGAAACCACTCATAACAAAATTTCAGTTCATTCGGTCGAATTTTGTGGAAGACCAATTACGAAAGTAATTGATCTAAAACTTACGTTGCTCTGTGTAATGTCATATTAGTCACTCTTAAATTGATGCGTCTGTAGCCGACAACAACTAACAGTGTTTAAAAATATTTTTTTAAATGCTGCAATGTATCTGACATTCTTTTTGATTCTTGATCGCACTAAATGACGTCACAAATTAACGCGGCATTGACAGTTGGATCCCAAAAACTCGCGTATACTAAATTTGGCGCGAATGTGTTATTTTTTGAAAATTTGGTCTGTCATCTTGGATCAGCCATCTTGAATTTTGTAAAACTGACCTCGGATCCGTGATTAGCGACCCCAAAAACCCCCGTATACCAAATTTGGCGAGAATCTGTTTATCTCACCTTAATTGATCCGTTTTTTTAGGTTAGAATTCTGACCGCGGATAACTTCCTCATTTCTGATCGGAGCTATAGTTTTTTTAGTTATTTAAGAAAAACCTTTTTTTGCAAATATGTTAATTTTTTTGGCCATTCAATTTAAAATTTAATTTGCAGTCATATTTTTTTCCAGGTAACAATTTCTGCAAATTTAAGATTAGGCCGCAACAGAATGAATGTTTGGGCTAAATGTATGTTAAACTTGGTTCTAACATATCGAGTTTTTGGAAAACCTTTTTTAATATTTAGTTTAGGTAATTTTAAAATTAACTACAGCCATATGTGATTCTTAATTAAAAATGTTACTATGTATTATATCGGAAGCTTCAATTCGTGTTAAATTAATGTTAAGGGAAATTTAAAAACAGCATTTTAAAAAAATATTTTAATTTCACTATACCTAATACAGAAAAAAATTTACACAAGTTTCCCTGTTCCAAAATTAAGAAACAAGTTCTTTAGTATGGTTCAGGTTCTTCTATCTTCATGGAAAACGTAGTTGAAGAGCAGGGTTGGTTGTCATAAGCAGCAGTTTCTTGTGGCACCGGGGAAGATTTGCTAGAGGCTGTCGCTTGCGTGGTTTCTTCCAAATTATTAAGTTCCTCTTCCATTATGATCTGCGCGATCCTCATTTTCACAATGGCTTGCCTCATGGGCGAGAAAGTTTTAACAGTGTTCGAGTAACCTAAGAAAATTAAATCGGTAGCGTCGGACGAAGTTACTTGTTGCTTCTTTGACTGGAGGTAATCCATAGATGGAGCGGCTGGAATTTCCCTTGCCACTCTCTTCCGACTATTCCGATTGCAAGGTGTACTATCTTGTAAGGAATTTTCTTCGAGGCTCTCGCTGTCTTCGTTTAGGGAATGCACAGTTTCGTTTTTGCAATTATCTATATCGTTTATAGTCGATTCGGCTTGTGGTCTTAAAAATTCCATTAGTTGCGCCCACTGCCAGTTCTTGTAGCTACGTTTGACAACTTGGCCGCTTTTGGTATTCACGGTTCTGAGGTATTTCTGGTAACAGTCCTTGATGTTCTTCCATTTCTTCTTTAGGTCGTCCCCTGCAATCAGGAAAACAATATTATATCAGTGCCTTCAGGATAATGCAGGTGCAACAATGAACAAATTTTTTATGGTATTAGTAACTTTAAAATAAATGTAAATACAGGAAGTAACGCATATAATTGTGCACAATGGATTGTAGGTGGAACTATCTTGATTAAATATCATTGCAACGATTGGATGACTGTATTAAATGTAAAACAAAGTTTCTGTCTTTGTGAAATTAATACTATTTTAAGGAACATTTTTAAGTGGAAATGTGATCATCTACTAAAAATTTTAACATTGCTCCAGAAACAAGCAGCCCTTTGGAGTAACAAAGCAGAATAATACGAAGTTACAGTTTTAGAAGACAAAGTTTTACGGGAAAGTGTAGCCGAATAGTAATATTTCACTTTCAATGCAATAAAATGATTTCAGAAAGAATTCACTTTACATCGGATGATTCATCTGCCATTATCATTCAAGGTAACCCTTGTGGATACATCTATAACTAGAGCCGTGATGTCCTTAGGTTAGTTATGACGTGAACAGCAGAAACGTATTTAGAGTTATATGTACGTAGGTTATTTTTCAATATTTTATAGGTGACTATAATGACACGTAACATTTTATAAATTGTTAAAGTTGATGACTGCAAATTAGAATAACTGAATACCATATGGTGACATTTGGAAGTTTTATGAATCTAACATAAAAATAATATATGTATTGATTTGTTTAAAAATTTAAGCGCTCCTGGTTGGTGGGTCAGAAACAATATCTTTTATTGAGTATTGAGCTCTTCATATTAAGAATTTTTAATTAGAATGCTGATTATGTTAAATTACAATATTACAATACAACATTACAATAAGAAAATGTTGTGATGATTGTAAGTTGTTAAATAATAATGAAACATTTACAAAATTAATTATTTTTGAACAAGAATTTCGCAGCCACCAAAAATGTTGTTGCTTCACTTCATCCAGAAAAGGTAATACTGAGGTACGATAAGACATAACATGTTGGATGAATGGTGTAAAATTCAAGGCATCAAGAAAGTCCACAACAAAAATATTCTTTTGCCACACTTTGAAGGACTGTTAAAACTACTAAAGCCCTTGTTGCTTTGGATCTACTATTCTGTGTCGCTTCGATATCAGTAAAATACAACACATATTGGTTTTCTTGGGTCAGTGTGAGAGATTGATGATGTTTTTCTTCCCCTCATTCCTGCACTGAATACTCTGAATGATGGTTATGCCTTACTAACATAAGTCGTTGCTGGGCGTATATGCGGTCTATTGAGTAATAATATACCGCCCCCTCTTCCGCACAAGTCTCCAACTTCTGGGTTAATCCTTGCGATTAGAATGAGGGGTATATTATTATTAAAACCGATTTCTAGAGAAGTGTCTTACGGTAAGTAGGTTAGGCTCAAAATACGAACTGATCGGGAAAATATGACTTCAGATTCCAGTTCAGTGGGATAAAGTAGGTACTATAGAATGCACTGGTCTGATCCATAAGACTCCACGTTTGGAATAAACTTAATCTACTAATAATATTGGTAACATTGATTTGAAATTTCCGAACAATGAAAATAATGGTGGTTTGTGTTGTACAATTTGTTCAATAAACAAAAACTCTAGTATATTCAATATATTTCGAGATAAAGAGTGTAAAAGTTTCGGAATGTGGCTATCTCCTGATTCACTAGGCTAGCGTTTTAAAGTCATGAAACAAACTTAGTAGTCAAATGTGGTAGGTGTATGAAACGTAAATATTATTATTATATCACCGATTTAGTGATCAATATTGGTAATTATTACTTATTAGACGTCAAATCTGGTTGACACCGGTCATTATCAGTTATTACACTGTAAAAAATTCACACAAATTTCACTCAATTTTACTCAATAATGTATCAATTTCTTTCCACACCCGATTGAGTTCAATTTTCACTGTATTAGTATGAGTACAACTGAGTGAAACTATTGCATCAGAAATTAGTGAATTTTACTCAAATCCGAGTTACTGCTAACTATCAATTGAGTGACTTTTGACTCTATTCTGAGTATATAAAATTAATTTAGAGTTGACTTTTGAATGATCGAAATGCCCAATAATGATTGAAAATGTACTCAATAATTTCAGTCAGTGGATTCACTGCGAACCTTTATTGCTTCCACTCACACCGATTTGTTTACAGTGTGGTGTAGTGGTCAATATTCACAATAATTAATAATTATAATTTATTAGTCGTCAACCCTGTTAACTCCAGTTATTGTTGCTTACTTCCGGCCATTGTTCCTTATTTCCAGTCAATATTGGTAATCACGAGTAACTGTTTGTTACTAGAACAACACAACCCAACTCAAATCGATCCAATTCATCTCAATCCAACTCAACTCAACTGGACTCATTTCAACTAAGTTGATTTGTTTTATGACTTTAGTACATCTAGCTTAGTTAATCAGGTCATAGTCATATTCAGACCTGGTGACCAGAACACCAAAAAAGAACAATATAGTAGAATTTCTGCTAATTTGAACTGGAACCAAGTTCCAGTAGGTTAGTGCGAGGTGTTTTATAATTTTCAGAATTAAATATTACACTAACTAAAGAAGGGTGTCAAAGTCTTATGGGACTTTAGTCCAAAGGACCTCGCACTTTTTTTTATGGAAAATGGCTTTGGGCTAATTTTCTTGAAATTTTGTAGGTTGATAGTTCTCAATATGTAGATTCTCAGAAGTCTTAATGGGCACGAAGCCTTATAACCCCTCCTTCCCTCCAAAAAATTACCCCCAAGCGGCTAGGGGGATGTAACTGATTTCTGAATGTGAAATTATTTTTGTTCTTGCAGTCCAGCCAACGGCTACCACAACCAACCACCCCTGTGACCCTTCAACCACAAACCATCTAACCCCTCCCCTCCCACCACCACCGACCAGCAAACCCCTTGAGGATGGATTTAAGACTCAGAAATTAGTTATGTCTCCCTAGCCCCTTGGGGGTGGATTTTTGGGATGAAGGAGGGGTTATAGGGCTTCGTGCCCATTGAGACTTTTGATCTACAGATTGAGAACTATCAACCCGCAAAATTTCAAGAAAATTAGCCGAAAGCCATTTTCCATAATTTCCTTTGGAAAGTTGTAGTACCTGGTCTAGGAAAAAAGGCAATGGCCGTAACCCCCAAACTTGAGCGATTTCTAAGATATTTGTTTTCAAAACTTTTGAGGTTTAAAAATTACACTGATCCACAAATGAAAAAAATCATGCAGAATAATGCATTGTAGTTCCATGTATTTTGGTCCGCAAACCCAAATCTGATCTCAGTTTAGCTCCACTCAGCATACTAAAAAACGTAGAAAAGTACACTTTTCTAAGATGGACGTATTGGGCCCAAAATTGACACCCTTCTTTGCACGAACTTTGCTACCAGTTAACATAGTTTCAACGAAACATATTTTATACGTATATATGCGTAAATAGTAAGTGGATATGCTCGAAATAGAGCTAGACCTGTTATCCACGAATACTTTACGCTATTTATTGGTACACGTTGAAATCATAAATATTGTATTAATACTACAAAAAATGGAAATAAGAATAAGAATAATGTCAAATGGTTGAATTTGTGATGTTACATCAGTATACCTTTCGTTGTCATGAAAACGAGAAAACAAAAATTAATTTGTAACTGTACTGTCACATAAGATTAATTGCTGTCACCACAGTTATTACTAGTTGTATATTGTTTAAAAATGACTTCTAACATTGATTACTTAAATAGTAAAGCAGAATCGCGATTAATACCACCGCAAAAGTCGGAAAACGCTTATAGAAAAGAATACGACAAGTTCATCAAATGGATGGAAGAGCAAAACGTAACAAATACAGATGAACGAGTTGTGCTTGCTTATTTTCAGAAAATGTCAGAGCAGTACAAAGCGTCGACTATGTGGGCTATCCATTCGAAATTACAAAGTATGTTGAGGATAAACAAAGGAGTCGATTTAAAATCATTTACAAAAGTGCATGCAATTAGCAAGAATGACGTAGCGAAGAAGGCATATGTATTCAAGGAATATGATTTGAGGAAGTTTTTCACGTATGCACCGGATATTGCGTATTTATTTTTGAAGGTGGTATCCATTTGCGGTATTTTTGGCTCTTGTAGAAGATGTGAATTGTGCGACTTACGCTTACATACCAGCAAGGAAGAAGGAAGCATATTGCTTATTACTATCCGACCACCTAAGACAGTGAAAGCTCGACGATTTACTGTTGCCGACAGTGAAGCAATTGGTTACGTGCGTTTGATGAAGCAATATTTATCATTGCGTCCCCAAAATGTAAGTACAGACCGAGTTTTCTTACAGAATGATAAGGGGAAGTGCACCAATCAAGTGGTCGGTATTAATACATTTGGATCATGTCCCTTGCAAATTGCACGTTATCTTAAATTGGACAATCCTGAGAAATACACGCGACACGCGTTTCGTCGTACGTCAGCTACCATTATGGCGAATAGTGGCATGACAATAGATCAAATCCAACGACAAGTAGGGCGGAAATCGGCAGCTGTGGCGACTGGTTACGTTGAAGAGCATTAGCAATAAGAAAAATGTTTCAAACATTATTGGGAGTGCCATTAATGGAAGTGCAACCACTGCAACATCATCGACTTCCGAAAATGTTAGCTGTATTAATTTGAACAGCATTTCATTTGATTTAAAAAACCGAATATTAAAATTTCAAACAATACCAACTGCACATTTCACATTCATTTAAATGATTAAGATGTTAAGTGTTGAATAAAGCTTTTGAAACATTTGTTAGCAATATTTTATTTGACGTTACAAGGTACTTCTCTCAGATCAATAACACAGCCACACAGAAAAAAAAAAGTTGGGTATACTTTTTATGCGACATATATTTTTCGTAGTAATTTGGCCTCCTGAACACGAATCTGGGGTCAGAATTGGCCCATCGCGTCACAATTTTTTCCTAACCTCAAAAAACTTGTGAAAAATAGTGAAAATTGATGAAAATTTACTGGGAAAATTTGGAAAAAAATTTATTTCCACATCAAATAGTACATTTTTATGTAAAAGACTCTGCTGAATTCAAATCCACTGTCAGAATTGAGCTAGAACGTGTGGTTTTTTTTCTAACCTCAAAAAACCGAGCAGGAATCGCTATTTTCAAATTCTGAGCGGATTTTGACCAGATTTTGTATAAAGGGGTTTTTTGGGTCGCTGATTACGAATATGAATTCACATTGTAAAAATTCAAGATGGCTAATCCAATATGGCGGGTGTACTTTTTTGAAATCCACCGATTTCAGTAAAATTTGGCATCATAAGGATTGCTGGTTGATCTCACCTTCATTAATCACACATCTGGAGCCAGATTTTCATAAATCAAGGTAAAAGATTCCACTCCGTCTAAAAATGTGACTTCGCTTAAAAAAATGACTTAAGGACTCTACACATGTAATGATGTGTAGTGTGATGTGCTTGTTTCCATGGGACAAGACAAAAAAGTTTCTACTTTATTCTTTCATTTATTTAGTCGTGCATGGGCTTATGGTTTTCCAATCAGATTTTTTTAACTACTATGCAGTTTTCCTATGGCATTTAGATGCTTTTATTTCTTAATAATTTTAAAGTTCAAGGAAAAGGACACATTACTGCCACACAGCACATCACTGCATCTGCTTATGCCTTCAATCTAAAAATGTGACTTTGCCGAAAAAATGCCGCCTACTCGGCCTAAAATTATGACTCTGCCTACATCTTTTACCTTGATTTATGAAAATCTGGCTCCAGATGTGTGATTAATGAAGGTGAGATCAACCAGCAATCCTTATGATGCCAAATTTTACTGAAATCGGTGGATTTCAAAAAAGTACACCCGCCATATTGGATCAGCCATCTTGAATTTTTACAATGTGAATTCATATTCGTAATCAGCGACCCAAAAAACCCCTTTATACAAAATCTGGTCAAAATCCGCTCAGAATTTGAAAATAGCGATTCCTGCTCGGTTTTTTGAGGTTAGAAAAAAAACCACACGTTCTAGCTCAATTCTGACAGTGGATTTGAATTCAGCAGAGTCTTTTACATAAAAATGTACTATTTGATGTGGAAATAAATTTTTTTCCAAATTTTCCCAGTAAATTTTCATCAATTTTCACTATTTTTCACAAGTTTTTTGAGGTTAGGAAAAAATTGTGACGTGATGGGCCAATTCTGACCCCAGATTCGTGTTCAGGAGGCCAAATTACTACGAAAAATATATGTCGCATAAAAAGTATACCCAATTTTTTTTTCTGTGTGGCTGTGATAATTAAAAAGGTGACATTTAGACTTGACGTTTCTCGGGTTCTTGATGTTGCCATGGTAACTTTAAAACGCGCGCTTTTTTTAAAGTTGGATTTAAACACTCTGGGGCGTGCTTTAAATAAGCAAAATAGGGTACCAACAAAAAAAATATTTAAAAAACTAAAATATAATATATTCTATGCAGAAGCGGCAATTTTGGCTAAAACGCATGTAGTGTTGAGTAGAACAACTAAACAAATATGTTATAGTTCATTCTAAATTAAATTGAATGTACGATTATGTATCGCTAGAAAAAATAACACTTCTAAATCAAGGAAAATGCTTCTTGCGTTCGTGGACTTGTCCACTTGGTCGCTCATAAAAAACTTCATTTATATCTTTTGCTGCAAACCGTACTACTGTTTGTGTATAAAAAAATAATTCAATTAAAGTTAAAATTGAATTACATGCTTTTATCTTCGATCTATTAAGTACGACTCTGTTATTTACATCATATCGGACACGACATCCGGGGTCTACTAATTAATTGTACATAAAAACGAAAAACAATAAATAATCACATAATAAAGAAGGATACATTTTGCTTACCATTTTGGTTCAGTTCTCTTCCAATGTCGTTCCACACGTTCTCTTTCTTCCTGACATTTTTATATTCCGGATGATTTAAATCGTATAAGATCGGCCGAGTTTTTACACATTCTATCAGGCTTTCCGTCAGCGACATGATAATTGCACGGCGATATCGCGCGGGCTCCCGCTCCGCTCTGTTCGTGCCCACCCACCGCTGAGTGCCCGCTATCTCGGTTCGGCTCGGTGCCGGCCTCGGTGAGTTCTCGTCAAGTCACCGTTACTAGTTTGCTTCATTGTAAAAGAGAGTGAACGCAGCAGGCAGTCGCGGGCTGGGCGCGGACGGGTCGACGAGTCCCGCTCGCGATCGCCAAGTGCGGTGTCTCTGCGAGACGCGGTGTCTCCATAGGCGTCGGAACTTCTAAATTGCGCGATTTCTCTCGTAAAAATAATGGTACTATTTTCTATGGCACTGTTTCGATAATATTCGAACTACATAACCTCAAAGTTATATTTTTTGATGAATAATTAGCTAGGGTTAGGTTTGAATAGAGAAAAAGTATCCATAATTACTTGCGTCCTGAATACAAAATTGCAAGAATACTGGAATTCAGAATAAATGACCAAAAACGAACCAATCCTATTGATAATAGGCAAAAAATGGCAACAACTATAATTTGTAGGTTAGTTGTACAGGGTGGCCAAATGAAAACGAAACAGAGCCATTTTCTGGAACAGCGTCAAAATTGTAGAAAAACGCTCAGACCCATCGATTTTAGAATAAAGGGGGACATTCTTTGCTGGTATTTTTGACTTCGTCACTTTTACCCCCAAGCAAGGGTAAGCATCACCCCAAAATATTTAAATGGCATTGGGGGTTGAGTAATATTTCTTTTGAAAGCTCTTACTATTCTCTATAAAGCAGACTTTAAATTTTATAATTCCGCCCAATACTTTGAAAAAAAATTACATTTTAAAATTTAAATTATGTTTAGTTGCTTACTTACTTAGTTGATTAAATGTTCAAACTGATGACCGCCCACTTCCATACAAGAATAAAGATTTTGTTCGAAACGTTCGCGCACATTCCGAAGCATTTCCGGAGTGATTCGACGGCATTCGTCGACGATTCTTTGACGCAAATCTTCTAGCGACGCTGGCTGTGTTTTATAGATTTTACTTTTTAGGTATCCCCACAAAAAGAAATCAAGGGGCGATAAATCCGGTGATCGTGGAGGCCACTCAATGCTGCCTCTTCTCCCAATCCAATTCCGTAGAAAACGTTGGTCCAAATACTGACGGACAATTAACGCATAATGCGGAGGAGCACCGTCCTGTTGAAAAATCAAATGATCTTCATCATACTCTGGAACATTTTCAATAATATCAGTCAAGGCAGGGTCAATAGCGTCTTCCAGTAATTGCAAATACATTTGGCCAGTCAAATTACCAGGTAGAAAAAAAGGACCCACCAGCCGGTCACCGAAAATTCCAGCCCATACATTTAATTTTTCCGGTTGCTGTGTATGCACCTCGTGAAAAACTCTTGGGTTTGAATCGGACCAATAGCGGCAATTGTGACGATTTACCGTCCCGTTCAAGAAAAAACTGCATTCATCAGAAAAACAGATGTTAAAAAGGAACTGTGGATCGTTCCCTGCTCGCTCACTCATTATTTCGCAAAATTGCAAACGGCGGTCATAATCATCCTCATGAAGTTCCTGGACTAAATGTATTTTGTATGGATGGAATTTATTCTTCTTCAAAATGGTTTGTATGCTAGTTCGATTGATCCCAGACACAGATGCCAGCTGCCTCGTACTTAATGTAGGATCAAGATGAACTTGTCCCAAAACTGCAACTTCACTAGCTTCATTAACTATAGGTTTTTCAATTTCTCGTTTTTTATTGGCTACGTTCCCTGTCTCTTGAAATTTTTTTACTAACTCTAGAACATACTTCCTCCTGACATGTCGATCTTGATGTTGTTCATTAAATAGCTGAGCTGTTCTATTCGCACATTTATTGTTCATAAAGTAAAGCGAAATGATATCTACCCTTTCCGCAATGGAATAAACCATAGTGTTTAATTTTCAAAAACACAATTAAATAAACTACCAACCAACGCTTCCAAATAATACTAGAAAATAATTTGGAATCCACTAATTTTACGTTCATTGTGTGTGTATAGCATTCATTTCTGTTTTTTACAATTGTGTTTTTTTTTACGAAAGTGATAACAAATCGCCAAAAACCAATGTAACGCAAGAAATACTAAATTTATACCATTGGCGTACTTAACTCGAATGACTGACATTTTTACCGTTACTAATTGTTTGTACATAAGTTTCAACTTTAAAATCAAAATTCTTAATAAGTATTGGGCGGAATTATAAAATTTAAAGTCTGTTGTAAAGAGAATTGTAAGAGCTTTCAAAAGAAATATTACTCAACCCCCAATGCCATTTAAATATTTTGGGGTGATGCTTACCCTTGCTTGGGGGTGAAAGTGGCGGAGTCAAAAATACCAGCAAAGAATGTCCCCCTTTAATCTAAAATCGAAGGGTCTGAGCGTTTTTCTACAATCTTGACGCAGTTCCTGAAAATGGCTCTGTTTCGTTTTCATTTGGCCACCCTGTATATTATATTAAATTAAAATTTATAAGATTTTATTCATTTCAATTGTTATTTACTCATTATTTATTTAAATTATATACAGTGTGACCCATTTGTTTTTAAACCACACTGTAGAATCTGTATTTATTGTACGATTTTAACCCGATTTTTTTTTTAAGATGTAAGCTTGATGAAGTGTGCTTTGTGAAGGAAAATGAGCGTGATACCACAAAATCCAAGGCGTACTATGTCCGTTTTTAAGAGTAAAATTCTAATATTTCATATTAGGGATTTTTGAGAAAAAATATATTTACGCCACTGGATTCACGACCCCTCAAAACAGGCCCATCCCAAATTTTATCAAAAGTTTTAAATAATAACAATTTTGTAGTCAAATAAAGAAGTCTTTACTTTTTTCTCATTAAAATATTGTTGATATCAAGTTGTCCATGAAGCAAAATAAAAACAAAAAAGTTGAATTAATTAAACTCAACGAATGTGGTATTATAATAATTATTAATAATCTTAGTTTTGACAAATTTAAGTATAAAACAATAAATCTGAAACCAACAAAAATTAAATAATTCTATTCTTGTCACTTCTGTCAATTGCAATTGCACGTCTCAATTTCTTTTATACGTACGTTCGTAATTAATTTTTTATATTTGGTTTGGGATAATTTCTGTACAGGCTTGCATTATCCTAGTACGTAGTTTGTGTAAACTTTATTTGTTTCAATATATCCCAAAGAAAAAATCTAATGGTGTCAAGTTCGGGGACCTCGATGGCCACTCAATTAAAGGACTATTTCGTCTTATCCAGCAATTCTCAAAATGTTCGTTTAACCGTTGTCTCATCGCAGCAGTGTTATGAATAGGGCTAATAATTGTAACTTCAAATTAAGGAGATTTCTTAAAGGCAAATCATCTAATGCGTTCCAAAATTCACTAAGAAAATTTAAAAATATATTTACATTCAAATTATTCTATTATTCTATTATTTATTAATGAAAAATTTTGTCGATTTTTGAGAGGTATTTTCTCATTATTTTACGATAAAGTACAAAGTACCTACCTATAAATTTTTAATTAGGCAAGAAAAGTTTCTTTCAATTTCTTAATAAATCTAGGTCTCCGATTAAAGAAAGTGACCAAAATAGGGCCGATTATATTGACCGTGTCGTTCAAGAAATATGCTTCATATCAGAAAAATGTATACTATTTCTTTTTTGACAATAAAAATAAAAAACAATTACGACAGTGGTTTGTGCTTGTCCAATGATTGTAGAACATGCGCCTAAATTTGCGACGTCACATCATGTATAATGTATAAGTCAATTTTGTTATCTTTTTCCAATATATTAAAACAGTTATTTGACAAAAGTTGATATGCAAATTTTCAGTCCAAAATTTAAATATCTTTTTCCAATTTATTTTGGTATGAAATTATTGTAGGTACAGTTTTTTCACTGTAATATGTCATCAAAGTTAGGGACTTCATCATACTCTTTTTAACATTTATTTTCTTCAGTCACAAAATATTGACGATTTACAAACATTAGGGCATATACAATCCTAAATGTACTAGGAGTTTTTCCATTATTTTTTGTCAATTAATGTCTATAGTTCTTATTTAGATAACTATCTTATTTATAACACAAAGGAAATAACTGAACTGTCAATGCAAATATCGCCAAACGCATTTTTGTTCTTCACAACCCGCTACCATAAAAAATATTAACAATTTCGATTCCCGATGATTAACACATGTAACAAAACAAGAAAAACAAAATATAGCTATAGCCCTTTCAAGAATTGATTTTCAAAATAATTTACCAAATTATCTTTAACCTTATCCAAAATAGGATGGTGTAAGAAAAACAGAAAATTCATAATTGATGAATTGTCATGTTTTAATCGTACATATTCGAAAAATGTTGGTATTTCAATTAAAAACTATATTTTTGCTTCAAATTTTCCATATATTTGACCATAAATGTTCTACAATAAAATATTTTTTTTTATGATCACTAAATTTTTGGTTGGAATTTATAAAAATGTCGTAAAAATCTATCAAAATCGTATTTAACATTAAAACAACTTTTTTAATTTACTAAAATGAAGTGTAATAAGCGCTTTGTCATTTAAGATGCACTTGTATAGTTAAGATATAGGCTATTTTCTAAGTACCTACCGTAATTTACTAGTAGATAGATACTAAAGTACTTATATACGCCTCGATACTACCGTCATGAGAGTGCTATGCCCACACGATGTGATAGTACATACTATGGCCGATATTGTGACAGTAGCCAGTGTAACCACCGTAGTAGTCAGTCATAACACAACAGTTGTACTATAGCTAAAATACTATCAACTACCTCAACTGTGATAGTCGCCAGTGTAGCCAGTGTAGCTCAGTAGCCACTCAACAGTTGAACTATCTACAACTGTGATAGTTTCTAATAGTTGTAATGATAGCAACTATCATAAAAACTATCATCGTGTTGAAATGAAGCTCCTAACAAATTTTGAGGATGCAAATGCTGTACCTTTTAGACAATGTAAT